TTCCAAAGGCAAAGACACAGACAGTCAATTATGAGCTTTTTTGATGAGATGCAGTCCTCTTTTCACCTAACACAGTACCTAACATGGTGCTGAGAATACATTCAACACCCGAACAGCCCTGACTAGTGTGGGGAGAAAGACATGAGTTCCACACCAGGACTCACCAAAATCAACAGAAAGATCATCAGAAAGAGGTCACTCAAAATCTAACTGCATCCAAATGTCTATGGGTGCCTCCTTACTCTTTTCCCAGCTACCTGCCATTAAAGCCATGATCATTAACACTTACTGACAGCCTAGCACAGTAACCAAAACAGTGTATTTAAAAATCAAAATTCACTCAAGAAGTAAGACCAAGTATTAGTAACCCATTATGGAAAACATAATTTGTCTTTTCCAGGGGGAGAGGGAGTGGTGTTAGAAATTAGTAAAATACATGTTGTATAAGAGCACACAGAAACACTATGGAGCATTCATCTTCAGTGTAAACCACATAAGATAACAGTGTTCATTTGTAAATGGTATAGGAAGAAAAGCAAAGAAGACGATAATATCATTAGGAAATGGGCAAAATCACGGTTTTAAATGATAACTGAGAAATTTCCCCGATGGAGGTTTGGAAATTGTAATCACCTTGTACTCATGCTCAGAAATAATCAACATGCTTAAGTTAAGTTATAAAGCCAACTTTCCTATTAATAAGAGAGCTCACTTTATAAATGTATTAGTAGTTGAGTTTCAGAAGGGACTGAACACTAAATTTTCCTTGCAGTGGTATCTCTAATGTTACGTGTACCTAAGACATAATCATGCCTAAAATATACACATGCCTATATTTATTGATGCACTATTCATAACACCTAAGATACAGAATCATCTGAAATGTTCATTAAATGAAATACTAAAGAAAATAGTCTATATGCAAACTAAAATATAACTGAGCCATAAAAAAAAAAACGAGTATATACTAACATTTACAGCAAAACACATGGAACTGGTGGATATTATATTAATAGTAGTCAGAAACAGAAAGACGTATAAGGCATTCTCTCTCACACCTAGATACTAAATAAAAAGGTTTACTCAAATGTGGAATGTGACTCTAGAGGCAGCAAAGGGTATGGGTGACAGGGGCAGGATAATGAATGGGTACCCAAACAAAGATAGTAAGTTCCAGTGTACTAGTGTTCTACTGCACAGAGGGGTAACTTAGACATCAAAATGATGCATTTCATGATTAACTAGAAGAGAGGAAAGTTGCAAACACAGCAAATGACAAGGAGTCAGAAACCTCACACCTACTGATAGAGTTCTCTACAGTGTTCTCTGCCCCCCTCTCATTCGCCCATTTAACAGCGAGATGTAATAGGGCACAGACCTGTGCTACAATTGGAGGCCAGTGTGGGTGTTAAGAAGAGTGGATAAAAATCTCAGTCCTTCATGCAAAAGTTGAGATGAGCAGGTAGGCCCCGGGTGTAGATAATAACATGGAGACTTCCTAACAGGATACGGTGGCACTACACCTATTAAGGAGGCTAAGATAAAAAGACTGAGTGCAAGGCTGGCCTGGGCTATATATAGTTAAGTTCAAGGCCAGCTTGGACCACAGTGAGACTCCACAAATGCTTCAGCCTTCCTTAATGATGTAATCTGCAAAAAGGGTACACTTTCCAGTTGTTCCTTTTCTTGGTGTAAGTATAAAAGGCTACAAAAGAATAAAAATGTCTTGATACTTGTAAGACTTGTTCAAAACATAAAAACTTTCTTTGATGACAGGAGACTCTGGTGACATCTAGGGTTACTTGTGACTCTGAATGCTGCTGGTGATGCCCTGGCATCAGAGCTTGCTGAGTGGGCCAGGGCTCTGCCTGATGGCACTAGGAAGGAGCTCTTCAGCTCCTGCTTTTGCCCAGGTCTGTGATGTGACAGGAAGACTTACACCTCTGCTGACTTCATTTCCCCAACATTTACTTTAGATCCTACTTGATTCAATGCAGTCCAACAAAAAGCAGCTGCATCCAACCAGTGATGCTGCTATTATCAGGGCCCTTACGGTCACTCCATTTACAACCTCCAGCAGACTCAGTTTTCCAACCTGTACAATGGCCTCGGGTGGCCTACCAAACTCCCTGGGTTATTCCAAGGCCATAGGAAACCATGGAGCTGCTAGCTATCTGGAACGGGGCACGAACAAGAGTCATAAAATCAAACTGCTCGCTAGCAGTAGGGCCACCTGTGTTTCTTTCTAATTCCTGCTCCAAGAATCATCTTGCAAAAACCCAGCAGCACACTGACAGGGTGGCTATCGTTAAACTGTATGCTACTGAAGCCATGTGCTACCAGCTATATCTGCTATTACAGAAGGAAAAACAAGATAAAGCTGGCATTGATCTAGCAAAAGTAACAGCATATACACAATTCTCTCCCATGGAATAGCGTGTGTGTGAGTGTGTGTGTGTGTGTGTGTGTGTGTGTGTGTGTGTGTGTGTGTGTGACTGCC